TTATATACAGTGCTATTGTTAAAGTGCTTATATACAGTGCTATTGTTAAAGTGCTTATATACAGTGCTATTGTTAAAGTGCTTATATACAGTGCTATTGTTAAAGTGCTTATATACAGTGCTATGTGTTAAAGTGCTTATATACAGTGCTATGTGTTGAAGTGCTTATATACAGTGCTAGTGTTAAAGTGCTTATATACAGTGCTGTTGTTAAAGTGCTTATATACAGTGCTATGTGTTAAAGTGCTTATATACAGTGCTATTGTTAAAGTGCTTATATACAGTGCTGTTGTTAAAGTGCTTATATACAGTGCTATGTGTTAAAGTGCTTATATACAGTGCTATTGTTAAAGTGCTTATATACAGTGCTGTTGTTAAAGTGCTTATATACAGTGCTATGTGTTAAAGTGCTTATATACAGTGCTATGTGTTAAAGTGCTTATATACAGTGCTATGTGTTAAAGTGCTTATATACAGTGCTATTGTTAAAGTGCTTATATACAGTGCTATTGTTAAAGTGCTTATACACAGTGCTATGTGTTAAAGTGCTTATACACAGTGCTATTGTTAAAGTGCTTATACACAGTGCTATTGTTAAAGTGCTTATATACAGTGCTATTGTTAAAGTGCTTATACACAGTGCTATTGTTAAAGTGCTTATATACAGTGCTATGTGTTAAAGTGCTTATACACAGTGCTATGTGTTAAAATGCTTATACACAGTGCTATTCACACACTGAGTCTTTTAAAAGTACTGGTCGTGTCCATGCTTCAGTCTGTGCCGCTCTGCCGAGAGGCGCACACAGGTGTAAACAGACATCCTCCAAATGGAGGACCAATAATCCTCCTGTAACCTTAACACCACATTTTAGTTACAACAACAGCGCCCTCTAGTGTTCTGAAGGAGCATTGATATATCACTGTCCAACACTGGTCCCACTGAGAGTCTATGGTGGTCCCACTGAGTCCATTGTCCCACTGAGAGTCCATTGTCCCACTGAGAGTCTATGGTCCCACTGAGAGTCCATTGTCCCACTGAGAGTCCATGGTCCCACTGAGAGTCCATGGTCCCACTGAGAGTCTATGGTCCCACTGAGAGTCCATGGTCCCACTGAGAGTCCATGGTCCCACTGAGAGTCCATGGTCCCCCTGAGAGTCTATGGTCCCACTGAGTCTATGGTCCCACAGAGAGTCCATGGTCCCACTGAGAGTCCATGGTCCCACTGAGAGTCTATGGTCCCACTGAGAGTCCATGGTCCCACTGAGAGTCCATGGTCCCACTGAGAGTCCATGGTCCCACTGAGAGTCCATGGTCCCACTGAGAGTCCATGGTCCCACTGAGAGTCCATGGTCCCACTGAGAGTCTATGGTCCCACTGAGTCTATGGTCCCACTGAGAGTCCATGGTCCCATTGAGTCTATGGTCCCATTGAGTCTATGGTCCCACTGAGAGTCCATGGTCCCATTGAGTCTATGGTCCCACTGAGTCTATGGTCCCACTGAGAGTCTATGGTCCCACTGAGAGTCCATGGTCCCATTGAGTCTATGGTCCCACTGAGTCCATGGTCCCACTGAGAGTCCATGGTCCCACTGAGAGTCCATGGTCCCACTGAGAGTCCATGGTCCCACTGAGAGTCCATGGTCCCCCTGAGAGTCTATGGTCCCACTGAGTCTATGGTCCCACAGAGAGTCCATGGTCCCACTGAGAGTCCATGGTCCCACTGAGAGTCCATGGTCCCACTGAGAGTCCATGGTCCCACTGAGAGTCCATGGTCCCACTGAGAGTCCATGGTCCCACTGAGAGTCCATGGTCCCACTGAGAGTCCATGGTCCCACTGAGAGTCCATGGTCCCACTGAGAGTCCATGGTCCCACTGAGAGTCCATGGTCCCACTGAGAGTCCATGGTCCCCCTGAGAGTCTATGGTCCCACTGAGTCTATGGTCCCACAGAGAGTCCATGGTCCCACTGAGAGTCCATGGTCCCACTGAGAGTCTATGGTCCCACTGAGAGTCCATGGTCCCACTGAGAGTCTATGGTCCCACTGAGAGTCTATGGTCCCACTGAGTCTATGGTCCCACTGAGTCTATGGTCCCACTGAGTCTATGGTCCCACTGAGAGTCTATGGTCCCACTGAGAGTCCATGGTCCCACTGAGAGTCTATGGTCCCACTGAGAGTCTATGGTCCCACTGAGAGTCTATGGTCCCACTGAGTCTATGGTCCCACTGAGTCTATGGTCCCACTGAGTCTATGGTCCCACTGAGTCTATGGTCCCACTGAGTCTATGGTCCCACTGAGAGTCCATGGTCCCATTGAGTCTATGGTCCCATTGAGTCTATGGTCCCACTGAGAGTCTATGGTCCCACTGAGAGTCCATGGTCCCATTGAGTCTATGGTCCCACTGAGTCTATGGTCCCACTGAGAGTCTATGGTCCCACTGAGAGTCCATGGTCCCATTGAGTCTATGGTCCCACTGAGTCCATGGTCCCACTGAGAGTCTATGGTCCCACTGAGAGTCCATGGTCCCATTGAGTCTATGGTCCCACTGAGTCCCACTGAGTCATGTCTATGGTCCCACTGAGAGTCTATGGTCCCACTGAGAGTCTATGGTCCCACTGAGAGTCTATGGTCCCACTGAGAGTCCATGGTCCCATTGAGTCTATGGTCCCACTGAGTCTATGGTCCCACTGAGCGTCTATGGTCCCACTGAGAGTCCATGGTCCCATTGAGTCTATGGTCCCACTGAGTCTATGGTCCCACTGAGAGTCTATGGTCCCACTGAGTCTATGGTCCCACTGAGAGTCTATGGTCCCACTGAGAGTCCATGGTCCCACTGAGAGTCCATGGTCCCACTGAGAGTCCATGGTCCCACTGAGAGTCCATGGTCCCACTGAGAGTCCATGGTCCCACTGAGAGTCTATGGTCCCACTGAGAGTCCATGGTCCCACTGAGAGTCCATGGTCCCACTGAGAGTCCATGGTCCCACTGAGAGTCCATGGTCCCACTGAGAGTCCATGGTCCCACTGAGAGTCCATGGTCCCACTGAGAGTCCATGGTCCCACTGAGAGTCCATGGTCCCACTGAGAGTCCATGGTCCCACTGAGAGTCCATGGTCCCACTGAGAGTCCATGGTCCCACTGAGAGTCCATGGTCCCCCTGAGAGTCTATGGTCCCACTGAGTCTATGGTCCCACAGAGAGTCCATGGTCCCACTGAGAGTCCATGGTCCCACTGAGAGTCTATGGTCCCACTGAGAGTCCATGGTCCCACTGAGAGTCTATGGTCCCACTGAGAGTCTATGGTCCCACTGAGTCTATGGTCCCACTGAGTCTATGGTCCCACTGAGTCTATGGTCCCACTGAGAGTCTATGGTCCCACTGAGAGTCCATGGTCCCACTGAGAGTCTATGGTCCCACTGAGAGTCTATGGTCCCACTGAGAGTCTATGGTCCCACTGAGTCTATGGTCCCACTGAGTCTATGGTCCCACTGAGTCTATGGTCCCACTGAGTCTATGGTCCCACTGAGTCTATGGTCCCACTGAGAGTCCATGGTCCCATTGAGTCTATGGTCCCATTGAGTCTATGGTCCCACTGAGAGTCTATGGTCCCACTGAGAGTCCATGGTCCCATTGAGTCTATGGTCCCACTGAGTCTATGGTCCCACTGAGAGTCTATGGTCCCACTGAGAGTCCATGGTCCCATTGAGTCTATGGTCCCACTGAGTCCATGGTCCCACTGAGAGTCTATGGTCCCACTGAGAGTCCATGGTCCCATTGAGTCTATGGTCCCACTGAGTCTATGGTCCCACTGAGAGTCTATGGTCCCACTGAGTCTATGGTCCCACTGAGAGTCTATGGTCCCACTGAGAGTCCATGGTCCCATTGAGTCTATGGTCCCACTGAGTCTATGGTCCCACTGAGCGTCTATGGTCCCACTGAGAGTCCATGGTCCCATTGAGTCTATGGTCCCACTGAGTCTATGGTCCCACTGAGAGTCTATGGTCCCACTGAGTCTATGGTCCCACTGAGAGTCTATGGTCCCACTGAGAGTCCATGGTCCCACTGAGAGTCCATGGTCCCACTGAGAGTCCATGGTCCCACTGAGAGTCCATGGTCCCACTGAGAGTCCATGGTCCCACTGAGAGTCTATGGTCCCACTGAGAGTCCATGGTCCCACTGAGAGTCCATGGTCCCACTGAGAGTCCATGGTCCCACTGAGAGTCCATGGTCCCACTGAGTCTATGGTCCCACTGAGTCTATGGTCCCACTGAGTCTATGGTCCCACTGAGAGTCCATGGTCCCATTGAGTCTATGGTCCCATTGAGTCTATGGTCCCACTGAGAGTCTATGGTCCCACTGAGAGTCTATGGTCCCACTGAGTCTATGGTCCCCCTGAGAGTCCATGGTCCCATTGAGAGGCCATGGTCCCATTGAGTCTATGGTCCCACTGAGAGTCTATGGTCCCACTGAGTCTATGGTCCCACTGAGAGTCTATGGTCCCACTGAGAGTCCATGGTCCCACTGAGAGTCCATGGTCCCACTGAGAGTCCATGGTCCCACTGAGAGTCCATGGTCCCACTGAGAGTCTATGGTCCCACTGAGAGTCCATGGTCCCACTGAGAGTCTATGGTCCCACTGAGAGTCCATGGTCCCACTGAGAGTCCATGGTCCCACTGAGAGTCCATGGTCCCACTGAGAGTCCATGGTCCCACTGAGTCTATGGTCCCACTGAGTCTATGGTCCCACTGAGTCTATGGTCCCACTGAGAGTCCATGGTCCCATTGAGTCTATGGTCCCATTGAGTCTATGGTCCCACTGAGAGTCTATGGTCCCACTGAGTCTATGGTCCCACTGAGAGTCCATGGTCCCATTGAGAGGCCATGGTCCCATTGAGTCTATGGTCCCATTGAGTCCATGGTCCCACTGAGAGTCCATGGTCCCATTGAGTCTATGGTCCCACTGAGGGTCTGGTCAGTATTATATTGTAACAGAACCTTGTCCGAACCTTGTACTCCTGGAGCTGGCGCAGAAAGAAACAGGCCAGAACCTCGTCGCAGTGGAAGGTCCCGCTGTGGGTCCCGATCTTCATCTTTGTGCAGAGTCTCTTTGCTTCACTCATGGATCGATCACAGGTTCTGGTCCCACTTCTGACCCCGGTGTGGTGTGACGTTAGAGTAAACAAAGCTTTGTTACTGAAAATAAACTTAGCAAAGGATGAGAGCTTTGTGGCAAACGGCATAGAAATAAGAACTAGTTCAGATTGTACACCGTGGAACTGTTTTATTCACACGCGCGAAGCGGACGGATTTCAGGGACGGACTTCGGCTGCATCTGAAACCAGTCACACTAAAACTTTCATTGTCCTTCTTTATTCTTTCTTGTGTTTACAATTACTTTTTTATTAAATATAGCAGCTCCAGGTGTTTAGTGTCATTACGGTCAGATGTTTTTCCACAAACGTCAATAAAATACGAAGGAAGAGCCAGTTAGAATAAGGAAGGATCTATCTTTGCTGAATGCGGACGTAGCCCGCACTGCTTCGTGGTCCGTCAGCTTTAAGTTTCGGTTGAAACAAATGATTGAAATGACGAAGGTCCGCTTTGTCATCGACAACATGATCTTAGCTCTATAAAATAAACTCTTATGCACAGACCACATACATATGTTTAATATGATACCGTTATGTTTTACATCTGAACAAGGTTCACTGTGGTCTCTGAACGACAGGCGGAACATACGTGTTTCAGCCACCAGAGGGAGCCACAGGACTAACAGAACAAACACAGATCCATTTAAGGTAAAGATACGATTTTTGCCTAAATTAAAACATTTGATGAGAGAACATCACACTTTGATGCATCAGTTTTAAACAGTTCTTTTCTGGACTTTAGAAGTCTCTTCACGTCATTATTCTTTCTCTCCAAACACGGTGCTGATAAACTACTGCTGTAGCCACAGCTGCCCTGGGGCACACTGACAGAAGCGAGGCAACCAGTCTGTGCCATCGGCCCCTCCCACCACCACCAACCATTCACACACACACCAGACTCATTCTAATGTGGGGGAAGTGTCTTGCCCAAGGACACAACCACAGTTTAGCACTTTGCCCGGGCTCTGCAGCCGCCCCACTGTGGCACCTAGCGTTCCCAGAGCTCTCCCATCACAGCACTAACCAGGCCCTGCCCTGCTGAGCCTCAGAGGTCTGACAGGATCTGGCTATGACCTGCAGGTGGCGCCACTTTCCCTGATTTTTGCTTCAGATTAATTGATTAATTAATCTAATAAAGAATATTACATGACAAGTCATACTTGACTGTTGCTCGTTATAATAAGTTAATTCTGTTTAATCTGACAATGACAGAGTCTGAGGGAAAAGGGCGATCGTTGTAGACTGTAACCTGTCAATCATCTTTAGACCTGTCACTCATCTTTAGACCTGTCAATCATCTTTAGACCTGTCAATCATCAGCGGATGTTTCAATAATAACCTGCAGTTCAAAGTCAAAGACAAAATGAACTTTCTTAGATTCATGTTTTTAATGTTCACTCTTTTTAATGGTCTGTCTCCATGGTCTGTCTTCATGGTCTGTCCTCCCCATGGTCTGTCTCCATGGTCTGTCCTCCCCATGGTCTGTCTCCATGGTCTGTCCTCCCCATGGTCTGTCTCCATGGTCTGTCCTCTCCATGGTCTGTCTCCATGGTCTGTCCTCTCCATGGTCTGTCTCCATGGTCTGTCCTCTCCATGGTCTGTCTCCATGGTCTGTCCTCTCCATGGTCTGTCTCCATGGTCTGTCTCCATGGTCTGTCTCCATGGTCTGTCCTCTCCATGGTCTGTCCTCTCCATGGTCTGTCTCTCCATGGTCTGTCTCCATGGTCTGTCTCCATGGTCTGTCCTCTCCATGGTCTGTCTCCATGGTCTGTCTCCATGGTCTGTCTCCATGGTCTGTCCTCTCCATGGTCTGTCTCCATGGTCTGTCTCCATGGTCTGTCTCCATGGTCTGTCTCCATGGTCTGTCTCCATGGTCTGTCTCCATGGTCTGTCTCCATGGTCTGTCCTCTCCATGGTCTGTCCTCTCCATGGTCTGTCTCCATGGTCTGTCTCCATGGTCTGTCTCCATGGTCTGTCTCCATGGTCTGTCTCCATGGTCTGTCCTCTCCATGGTCTGTCCTCTCCATGGTCTGTCTCCATGGTCTGTCTCCATGGTCTGTCCTCTCCATGGTCTGTCTCCATGGTCTGTCTCCATGGTCTGTCTCCATGGTCTGTCTCCATGGTCTGTCTCCATGGTCTGTCCTCTCCATGGTCTGTCCTCTCCATGGTCTGTCTCCATGGTCTGTCTCCATGGTCTGTCTCCATGGTCTTGTCTCCATGGTCTGTCTCCATGGTCTGTCCTCTCCATGGTCTGTCTCCATGGTCTGTCTCCATGGTCTGTCCTCTCCATGGTCTGTCCTCTCCATGGTCTGTCCTCTCCATGGTCTGTCCTCTCCATGGTCTGTCTCCATGGTCTGTCTCCATGGTCTGTCCTCTCCATGGTATAGGACATGGAGACGTGTATAGCACAAAGTAAATGTTCTGCTTCAGGACCATGGACCTCCTTCACTCTTTACACTTATGTGTCTGTGAAGGAGCAGACCCACAGTCTCCTCACACTGAGGGAGGTGCAGAGTCACCTCACACTGAGGGAGGTGCAGAGTCACGCTGAGGGAGGTGCAGAGTCACACAGAGGGAGGTGCAGAGTCACAGAGGGAGGTGCAGAGTCTCACTGAGGGAGGTGCAGAGTCACAGAGGGAGGTGCAGAGTCACACAGAGGGAGGTGCAGAGTCACACAGAGGGAGGTGCAGGAGCCTCGCCTTAAACAGAGAGATTCTCTAACAGTGAGTTTCAAGGACAATGTAGTTCTGAGATAATGTTGAATTTAGTTTGACTGCAGCTCTGACCTCTGACCTCTGACCCAGTCCAAAGGTCACAGTTGAAAGGTCAGTGCAGCTCTGACCCAGTCCAAGTGGAACACTCCGGACCTGCTCCCTCTGACTGAGGACGTTAGAGCCATGCATGCACATATTGAGGTATGTCGACCTGAATATGTGCAAACCCTAATAAGTGAGCCAACGTCTAAGCATTGGTCTAAACTGGCAGTTTTGACTCTTTGTGAGGTCATTATTTTCAATCGAAGAAGGGAAGGTGAGGTTTCAAAGATGCCACTGACAGCCTTTACCTTAAGAAGTAAGACTGGGATCCATTCTGACATTGCTCTGGGACTGTCCCAACTTGAGAAAAAGCTGTGTCAGCATTTTCAACGCATTGAAATTAAAGGGAAAAGAAGTCGGAAAGTGCCGGTTCTTTTGACTCCTGAAATGATTGCTTCGATGGAGGTGCTGGTGGAGAACAGAAGGGCCTGTTCCATCTCTGACCATAACCCATACTTCTTTTCCCGCCCGGGCGCAGACACCCACATCAGGGGATCAGACTCCCTACGCCAGGTAGCCAAAGAATGTGGTGCGGTGCATCCAGAGATGCTATCCTCAACCAAACTTAGAAAGCACATAGCTACTATGTCTACAGTTCTCAATATGAAAGAGAATGAGATGGACATACTTGCCAACTTCCTCGGCCATGACATTCGCATCCACAGGCAATATTACAGACTACCAGAGGGGACACTGGAGCTGGCCAAAATCAGCAAAGTGTTGATGGCCATGGAGCAGGGAAGAGTGACGGAATTCGAAGGAAAGAGCCTCGACCAGATACAAATTGAGCCTGAAGGTAATTCTTGATATTATTAAAATATGTATGATTTTTTTCCCCTAAAGGCCACTTGTATTTTTATTTTCTGTGCGACAGGGAGAGCAGTAGAGATCCTCTCACAAACGGACGGGCTAAAAGAAACTTCAAGCGGAGAACCTTCAACCATTCATCCAGATGCACCCCATGGTAGTGGCAGTGCCCCTTCTGGTAAGTGTACCAGGTGGGGGATTACAGCCAGGCTGCTTGGTCCTCACCCTGGGAGTGTATATTGCTAATATATTTTTTATTTCTCTCCCTAGAACGTGTAAGAAAGCCATGGTCTGCATCTGAGGTGAAGGCTGTGGAGAAGACCATGACACCTTTCATACAGACTGGAAAGGTCCCTGGGAAGTCTCACTGCCTGGCCTGCATTAATGCCTCACCAGATGACCTTAGACATCGGACATGGAGTGGCATTAAATTCTATGTCAAAAATAGAATCACTGCATTTCGAAAAAAAAATCTAAAATAAAATTCCTTTAAAAGAGTTGTTTGGTTTCTATTGACTGTTTTGTATTACTTAAAGTAGTCCCAGTAAAAAAAGATTATGTCTATGGGTCCCATTCTGAACGGCCCTGTCAAAGGGACCCACCAGGTAACAAAAACGTGTATGGGTGTGTGTGTGAGAGAAAAAAAAATGCACAGAGCATATCTGTGTGTGACTCACAGCAGCATCACTGCAGTCACCGCTAACACCGACTCTGGGTTTCTACGGCAACCGGCAAATGGCTCCACCCTCCCTCCCCCTCCCTCTCCCTCCCCCTCCCTCCCCCTCCCCCTCCTCCCCCTGTGTTCTTCTTCCCTGATTCCTGGCAGAGACCATGTGACTTCCAGGACGGCGGCTCAGAGCTGTCCCTGGCTCTGAAGGAGGAACTGTGGAAATAGAGAAACTGACACTGAATATTTTTAATATAAAAACAAACAAGTTTCAGAAAAAATATTACCATAAATATAAACATATAGACATTATACTGATGTCACTCACACAAACAACAGAATCTCAAAAGAACATTCTCCATTTTATTAAAGTCTGAGAAGAATAAAGTCATGGTTTGTCTTAAAGTCAAATATAACAATTAAACAAAAAGGTAGGTTTCCTCCGGGTGCTCCGGTTTCCCCTACCACTAAAAACATGTACAGTTGGTCCGCAGCGTGCATCATCTTTCCTCAGTAAAAAAGAAATGAGCATTCTCAGTGAATTCTATTATGGACGAGTTGGTAGAGCCAGAGGAAGTAAAAACAGGACCAGGAAAACCAAGTGGGACATGAACATCACAAATATGGTGTTGGTAAAAACACAGAAGCAGGTGTCAAATACTACAAGTTCAAAGTTCATCCATGGAAATGCCGTTTGTCCTGCGCTCAAGGGTTAGGGTTAGCAGACCTAAATGTGGAAAATTCATTCTGTCTTCTTATGTTTACGGCTTTTTAGGTTCTTCTAATAAGACAATTAAAGCAGTCAGACTGACTGCTTTTGGCAACAACAGCTGATAAGAGACGCGTCACTCCATCACGTGTCACCTCTGATGAAGGCGCAAGTGTACCGCCCAAACATGTCAGGTATTTAAGCAGTACTAGCTTTTTTTGCTTTAATTGTCTTATTAGAAGAACCTAAAAACCCGTGAACATAAGAAGACAGAATTAATTTTCCACATTTAATACGCAAAAGAATCGGAGCACGGTGTCTCAAAGCTTTCCGTCATCTGGAGAAGATCAAGAAAGCCCAAGCCCGCCAGAACAACCACCTGAGATTCAGCCTGAGATGCAGAGACGAAAATGTGACTCCAAAGAGTCTTAAAATCAAGAACCCCATACACACGAGAAACGCCACAAGATAATCAACAAAGCAAAACGGGATTTACTAAAAGAACGGATACGGATGATAAACATCAGAAGAGAGGCGCTAGCCAAGGAGTTACGGCAACAAACACGTATTTTTGAAGAACTATACCCCCTACAAGAGGAAGAAAAATTATGGATGGACAGACAATTACATGACACATACGAAAAAGAATTCGAAACAACCAAGAAGCGACAAATCGGTAAGCTAGATAAACTTATTACGAACAAAAGACAGCGCACACAGGGACCCAGTAATGATAAATGGCTATGGGTCAAAACGAACACTTACGGACACAGAACGAAACACACTAAAACGAGGACTACATTTTGCCATCACACCGGACAAAATACCACACGGAGAGTTTATATTGGCAACGGAGTTAGCATGCAATAAGATACATGACCAGAAAAGGCAGATCTTAGGAACACAGTCACAGGTATACTCAAAGCAGCAAAACTACCACCCCGCAACATGTCAGAAGAAGAAAGAAGGGCACTCATTTCACTCACCAAGGACAAACTCACTCACTACTAAGCCATACAAACACATACAAAATATTAAAAAATAACCCCACAGAGGAAAAGAAACGGAAACTGAAGTCATTACTCAAACCTCTAGCAGACGCAGGAAAAATAACCACACAACCATTTCATTCCCACAGCCAATATCACCCCACGTATGTATGGCACGCCAAAAATACACAAAGAAAACACACCACACACACCCATAGTAGACAGCTCAGGATCAGTCACATACATCTATCTAAAGCACTAGTTGAAATAATAAAACCTCTCATTGGAAACACTAACCACCACTGCAAAAACTCAAAGGAACTGGCTCAGGAACTCAAACATATCAATGGAAAAGTTGTGTCATTATTCACCAAGACACACGTTGACGTCACTATTCACATTGTACACGAGAGACTTAAGAAGGACCGGACACTCAAACGCACAAACCTCACAGCCACAGACATAACACAACTTCTAACTTACCTCCAATACAAGGACACAATGTACAGACAGAAGGAGGGTTTTGCCATGGGGGATCCACTATCTGCAATAATGAGCAACTTTTTCATGGAGGATTTAGAGGAGAGAGCCATCAACACAGCACCACAACAATACAAACCAACCCTATGCAAAAGATACGTCGACAACATTTTAGAAAAAAGTAAAGACAGGACACACACAGGACCTCACTGACCATCTCAACACCATAGACCCAACAGGACACATACAATTCACACATGAGGAGGAGAGTCCTTTTCTGGACTGAAACATTCACCACAGGGGCGACAGTAGCTCAGTTGGTAGAGCATTGGCCTTAAGGCCAGAAGGTCGTGGGTTCAATTCCCGCCTCTACACCTTCTCCACCGACTCCCACTGATGACTGCTGTTGTCGTTGTGTCCTTGGGCAAGACACTTAACCCCACTTTGCCCAAAGCTCCCACTGAAAGATCAAGGCTATGCTCACAGTCAGAGAGCAGCCGTCCTCCTGTGGACTCACCACCTGCAGAGGGTCAGTGAGGGGCTGGTGCATCTCTGACTGCCACCCCCCTGACCCAGAAATGGATTAAAGGGTAGAAAATGGATGGATGGAACATTCACCACCAACAGGACGGCAGCATCAAGACAACAGTCTACAGGAAACCAACACACACTGATCAATATTTACTCTGGACTTCAGAACACCCCATTGCACACAAACTATCCGTTGTCAGAACACTATTTGAACGCCTCAACAACATCACAGAGGAAGAAGACAGGATAAAAGAAGAAGGACACATAATCCAAGCACTCAAGGTTTGTCAATATCCCAGATGGGCAATACAGAAAGGAAGACAACAGGTACTAAACAAACAGATCACACAAAAACAGAGAAAAAAGCAACCACAAAAACACAACGAACACAAA